CCCACACACACACGCGCACACGCAGTTACACATACACACACATAGACAATAGGAAAGCACTTCAGTTAAACAATCGACCTCCAGTTAAACATTTTTTTAACCCTTGCGCGCGCGCACGCACACGCACACACGAGGGATCAGATGGGAGGAGTTTCTACTTTCTGCTGTTTCCTTAAGACAACATTAGAGAATCTCCTGGCATAAGTTCTGTTTTAGGGTAAAATGTCGTCTTGATGCTGATGAAGGAGAGGAGAGGAGAAGGAGGGAGGGGGGGGCACTTTCCATATCACCATGCCTTTCAGTCACGCTTTGCTGGCGTAATCGGAAAATGTGTGCCACGTCATGGTGATGAATGACTGATAGTATATTGGCCTAATACATAGAGGGGGAGAAAGAGCACCGGGGACCTCTGAAAGTCGGGATGAGTGTAAATAAAAGGCTTCAGGAGAGGGATTTTACGCCACGCCACATAGGAGCATTGTATGCTATTGAGAAGGGGGCTGAAATCAACTGGTTAAATGAAATGAGCAGCTCGGAGCAGCGTCCTATAGCTAAACACACATACGGGTATCTGGAAAGACTGTGGCAGGCAAGGATAATAGTGTTAAAGCTTAAGGTTAAAGGCCCCTCAATCAGCCTCAAGGGGTGTAAAGAGCACATCATGGACACGCAACCACATTAGACATAGGCTTCCCATTTATCTATAAACCGACCCAGAGGGAATTACAGCGGAGCAGGGTCATCAAACTTAATGCAATGATAGGACAACACCAGCTCTACACACACATAACAATGCATTAACACTGTGTGTGTGTGTGTGTGTGTGTGTGTGTGTGTTATGATAGGCTGAAAGTTGTCTATATGGATAAGTTAGTTGTTGTGTGTGAATGAAGGCCTTGTTTGGGGACAGCAGCAGACCCAAAACAGTGACTCTGTGCAGAGGGAGCAGCTTCTATTAGAGTTGTTAATTAAGCCCCCTCCTTCTCCTTCTCCTTCTCCTCCTCCCATTGCTTGTGTTAGAAGTGGTGTAGTACTTCTTCTGCAGTGGGCTCCACTACCTGCTCCAACACATTAATAAAGAAATCATTCAGAGAGGAGCCACTTTCTGGATCTTTGTTTAAATGTATTGTGAAAGGTGAGTTGACCCAATCAGAAACCTTAAGGTTCCAGCCTTTCATTTCCTTTTTGTGATCAGATAACTCAGATAGATTATTTTTTGAAGCATTAAGAAGCAGGATCACAATAGAGCAGGGCAGGTTGGCTTTAAGTTGAATGAAAGGTGGACAATACTCAGCCTCAACATCTTCAGTTACTTCACAGCCAGAGATAAGCTCATAATAACATCCTGCCAACAAGTGCGAATTCTTTCCCCACATACACATAGATATGCAAATTAGACAGTGGGTCCATGTGTGGAGACGGTGTTATGTTCCCGTAAATAACCTATACAGAGAATACTGTCAATGACGTCCACGGTAGCTTTAGTTGGAGTCTATAACTCTTGTGATTGTATGCAGGGAATGTGATATTTTATTATCAAACATTACTGTTTATGCGACCGGCCATGATCTCTCTCTCTCTCTCTCTCTCTCTCTCTCTCTCTGGTGCTGTATTATTGTGGGAGAGCAGGTGCTGCCGGCCCAATTACCATACAGCTGAAAGCACAAAAAACTTTACTCCCTCTATGCTTCCCCTCCTCCTCCTCCTCCTCATCCTCCTCCCCCTCCTTCTCCTCACAAAGTCCCTTAATGACAGCCACGCGAGTGACACACCACCAAGCCTTTTTTACTAGTAAAGGAAATACAGAGGCATGCAGGAGAAAAGGTTTAGGTGTGTTGGCCTGCAGCCAGCGTGTGCGTATTTTGATGCGTCTTTGCGCACTTGGTTTAGATTTTCTTTCAGCTAATGTTTCACCTGCAAGCACATAAAGCCGGTTTTTATCCATTTTAAGTATAATTTAGGAGTATAAATACATACATTCAGTGGGAATTTGGGGAAGTAATTTCCACGAACATAGAAGTGGATTGATGGGGTGTGTTGTAAATGTGCAATATAACATAATTATATGATGAGCGGAGTCGGACTTTGAGAGGCATGGTGTGCAACTTAGAACCAAGAAATAAAGATAAGGTAATAGGAACAGATCGACTTGTTCTGGGGGTGTGAACATGTGAAAACCACGGCAGGGGTAACACCATAGGAATGTGGCGGAGCAGATGGTCGTTGTAACGCAGTTGGGACGGCTGGCTGCCGTCTGGCCATGCAGGGAACAGGCCAGCATAACCCCAAATGTGAGGAGCCACCGTCGGACTGGCTGCTGCGTGTATAAATCACTTGATGCTGCGATGTGGAGGATTTCGTGTAGAGGTTAAAGAATTTGTCGGAATGTAAATGGGCCCCGTGTGTTGTGTTGTGGAGGAGGGAGGCATCAGGGGAAGCAAGGGGTTGTTGCACATTTAACAGCTCACTAGCCATTTGGTCTGTCCCTTTGAGAGAAAGAGAGGACGGGGGGGGGGCGGGTTTACAAAAGTTGTGTGCACCCCCCGACCCCCCCCTCCTCTTTCTTTGTGATGGCCCCGGGGCGGACTTGTGGTGGTGGTGGAGGGAGGGGAAGAAGAGGAGCAGAGGGGCTCATTTGCATCTTATTACCCTTCGCCTGCTGGCTCGGTATAAAACCCTGTGCAGGGCAGGAGACCCATCAGACATACGCACTGTTACACCGAGTGAGGCACAGAGACGGAGACTCAGCATATCATTATCAATCAAGTGGGGAAATAAACAAGGCCACCGAGAGCTGCCTCTATCTGATTGGAATTAACCCTCTTATATTTCCATCGGGGATTTCATTCACGCTTCTCCAAGGGGAGCCTGCTGCTGAGGATTACTTTACCACTGTGAAACTTTTTTCTTCTTTCTGTCAAAAACTCGTGCCTCGTATGGGAAACTAGAGAGGCAGAAGGCAGACGCACCAAAAGGAAAGATTTCACTCCACCTTCCCTCCTGCGCGTCAAGAGTTCACCTTGACTGTGACATAACGGAAAGCTTTTAAAACTTTCTCCATGATTGTTTGAGCCGGTCTGCACGGACCTGTGGAGCTTTCACTGCTTGTTGAAGGGCTGTCAACACAATGGGACGCCTGTGTCTGCTCCTGGTTGTCACTCTCTCCCTACTCACCTGCCAGGTAGGTTCAATAACAGCTCATAAATAATATTAAAGGGTATTAGAACGCGCAAAATGTGTGTTTGCACGTTTTTGTGGCTGTAAAAAGTTGTAAACTACTTATGGGACATGCTCATATTTGCAAACACACCCTGAAGGTACCTGCCTTAAACACACTAAGCTGACCGTGTGTGTGTGTGTGTGTGTGTTCTAGGTTTTGTGCTCCGGAGTGTTTGAGCTGAAGCTGCAGGAGTTCCTCAACAAGAAAGGGGTAACGGGGAACGCCAACTGCTGCCCGGGAGCCTCTGCTCATCCGCAGGGCCAGAACCAGCAGTGTGAGTGCAAGACTTTCTTTCGGGTCTGTCTGAAGCACTACCAGGCCAACGTCTCCCCCGAACCTCCCTGTACCTACGGCGGGGCTGTGACTCCCGTCCTCGGTTCCAACTCCTTCCAGGTGCCGGAGACCAACGCCGACAGCTTCACCAACCCAATCCGCTTCCCCTTCGGCTTCACATGGCCGGTGAGTGTTTATGGATGTATCATTTTAGACATTTTAGTTGTACGATAGTATCCATAGCCCCCTAAGAGAAGTTTTCCTGCAGGATTACTGTAGGATATAAATTTTAATATGCATTTCATTTGCAGATTTGTTGATGTATTTGTGTCTATGTTGTGATTAATGTACCATTTTAAGGAGTAATGGAGACCATGGGCAGACTGAAGTTATCATAGCCTTATTCCAGTGGGACATATTATCTTTGAAGAGTGCAAAACGCAACAGATGCTCCCAAACCCAACACTTGTGAGGGTCTTTGTCAGCACTGTGTGAGAGGGGCTATTGTAGTATTTCTGTGCTCTTTGGTGGGATAAAACGGGGAGGGGAGGAGGGCGTGTGTGTGTGTGTGTGTGTGGAGGAGGCGAGGGGGGTGTTTTCACCAAACGCTTCTCTCCTCCGACCAGGCGTGGTGGGAAATTTAACATCCTCTGAGTTGGCACATCATTGGCAGCGCAGCGTGAAATTCCGCCTCGTTTGGTTTTACGGCGGTGTCAGAGTGTGATAGTAGCAGGGGTGTGAAAAGGGAGCAGGTAGTAGCCCTTATTAGGCCCCTAATCAACACGGGAATTAGGCTGTGAAGTTTATAGGGAGGCCTCCTTAATGGCCCTCTGCTGCCCTGCGGAGGGAGGGAAGCCTCCAGGCCGAGCAGCTGTTGACTCTCCCTCTCTCTCTGTCTCTCCTCAGGGGACGTTTTCACTGATCATTGAGGCTCTGCACACTGACTCCCTGGACGACCTGGCAACAGGTGGGTGGCAGCCACAGAAGGCTGCAGTGTAACTCAAAGACAGGCCAGAAGGCTAATAGTGGCCTTGTTTTCTTTCAGTACCATGTTTTCCACTTAGTGCTCATGTCAGGAGTGCTAAACCAGTGTTTGGTGAGTGTTTTAGGGCATTGTGCTGACACTCAAGAGCAAATTATATAGGCTACATTTATTTCCTACATATTGAGCTTCCTTACCGATATATACAACATGTTATTTGATTTGTGTGGTCTTCTATATATACTCTATCTATAATGAGTCAGTGTCACATTAATATGTTGACAAACATGCAGATTTGATGATAACTTGATGTATCACACCTTTACAGAAAACTTCACTAGCTTGAGTTTTACTGAATATTACAAAAGGGAAACCGCCACCCACAGACTGGTCCCTGTAGTTGGGATATTTGCTGTTGTTATCTTTATGTCCTGCTCTTATCAGAACACTAACTGACCACAGCACGAGAGTGTGTTTCTCTGTTGGTGGTGGTGGAGATAACTGAAAAGCTGGCACACCTGGCAGTCTAACTTATACTCCATTAAGTGCACCATTCACACCTTAAAAGCTGTTTTTATTCAGACAACAACATCCATTTTTGGAACCACAGGAAAGTCTTAAGTAAATTACCTCCCTAAAAGAAAACATTTGGTCAAAAATACTTAACTGTCTTTCTATAGAAGGCTAAACAAATACATTTTACAAGATACAACACAAAGATCTAACAAGTCTAGCAAACAAATGAGATAAAACTAATAATTTATCACAATGGCAGGGTGTCTTCTTAGACCTACTTATCTGGTCTCATGACATGTCACAACTCTACTTCTGCATTCAGTCATAACAGTGATTGTAAAACCATTCATTGCCTTTTGCAGACAATCCAGAGCATCTGATCAGCAGGATCACCACTCAGCGTCACCTCACTGTGGCAGAAGAATGGTCCAAGGATATGCAGACATCCGGCAGAACTGAGCTGCGTTACTCCTACCGCTTCCTGTGTGACGAGCACTACTATGGCGATGGCTGCTCTGTCTTCTGTCGGCCCCGAGACGATGCTTTTGGGCACTTCAGCTGCGGCGAGCGTGGGGAGATCATATGCAACTCTGGCTGGAAGGGACAGTACTGCACTGAGTGTAAGTGGGTTTGCTTATCAGTCCAACACCTATCATTCAGGCTGTAACATGAGGAAGGGCCATAAAGGGGTCAAAGAAAGCAGTGGTTCATTTTAGTAGTTTTGCACTAGTTAATATTTAAAGTCACTAACAGCTGCTTGTGGAATAGATAAGATGAAGGAGTAGGTGCTGATGTTTTCGTAAAGTGTCTCATCCCACAATAGTGACTCAATGACAAGCAATAATGTTGCATGCTTTGTACTAGTTTTGACTTGAAAAATATATTGTCAAAACTAAGGAGCTATAAAATTAAACACTGATGAGGCAAAGAATTTCTGAAAAGTTTCTATATTGCTTTTCAGAGTTAATCACTTGCCTATCTTTATTTCTTTGGAGACGGTTTTCCACGTAATACGGGGCCCGTGTGCAACAGGCGTCAGTTAGTTATCCCATAGCACCAGAGGCCTCCATTCTAATGAGCCGCAGAGGCTCCTCAGTAATTCACACGCCGCGTGCCTTCCATTAGACCACTGGGGCCTCCTCGCCCCAGACCTCCTCCCCGATTGGCCAAGTGGGGGTCCTGTATTGTTGCGGCCCAGGCTGGTGATTGGCCGAGCTGGGTTGTGTATTGTTGTGGAGGGGGCAGCTGCTCGGTGAGAGGAGACAATGGAGCAGCTGTCTGGTGGTTTGCTCCACACAGACCAGCTGGCCCTGGGGGGAGGAGGAGGGGAGTGAGGAGAGATGGGAGGAGCAGAGGAGGGAAAAGGAGAATGTAGAAGAGGAGAGGAAGAGGAGTGGAAGAAGAGAGGAGGAGAAGAGAAGGGGATAGGTTGATGGAAGTGGAAGGGAGGAGAGGAGGATCAGAAGTAGGGGGTGGTGGGGGGAGAGGAGGAGAGGGGCCAAGGGTGAGAAGGGACTTCTGACCCACAGTCAAGGGGAGAAAGGAGGCTTTGTGTTTGACGCTTTTGTGTTGGAGAACAACCATGTTAAAGAAGAGGGCTTGTTGACTGGTTCCCCCGTTTGGTGAGTGAAGCTGCCGTAGCTCTCTGTGGGCTGTTCAGGCTGAAAAGTTACATTTTCAGTAACTTTTGCAGCATTGAAGACAATAACACATTTCAGCCGGTGATGACCGCAAAGTTTTAACACGTTCCACTTTGGCAGCTAAGTTTGGTCCAGAGTGTCTTTAACCACCAAACATGAGCCACGGGCCTTCTTCTTTAATGGGGCCACCATGACAGAAAGGTAAAGCTAGAAAGGGAGAATAAAAGAGACTGTAGACGGAGAGACAGACAGGTAGGCAGGTAAACAATTTGTAAAGACAGGCAGGTTACCAGACAGGCTGAAAGACAGGCAAACAGATAAGAAGGTCAGGGCGCCAACCAGACAGGCAGGCGAGTACGCAGTGGTTTAAAAAGGCCCTCTGTGAATGGAAGACTGATGGACGGCAAACACATGTTTCAAACACTGGATTTCCCATGATTCACCTGTCACTATTTGTTTCCTCCCTGCAGCAATCTGTCTTCCTGGCTGTGATGAAGAACATGGCTTCTGTGATAAACCTGGAGAGTGCAAGTAAGTTACAAAAGCAAAACAATGAAAATTGATTTTAATCGGAAGTTATTTAGATGGATCATAAATAGATAACTGTAATGTTTTCTGATAATTGTTTTCTATGTTTTTGCTATGAAAAGTATCTAATGAATGTTGTGTTCTCAGGTGTCGAGTGGGATTCAGTGGGCGCTACTGTGATGACTGTATCCGTTACCCAGGCTGCCTCCATGGCACCTGCCAACAGCCCTGGCAATGTAACTGCCAGGAGGGCTGGGGTGGGCTCTTCTGCAACCAGGGTGAGTTCACTGAGAGATTTGCTACTTTGTTGAGTCAATCAACCCTCTTTGTTCCACATGTAAACACTATTGTTTCTAAATGTTGTTTCTTGTTGATGTTTCCAGATCTGAACTACTGTACACACCATAAGCCCTGTCTTAATGGAGCCACCTGTACCAACACCGGCCAGGGCAGCTACACCTGCTCCTGTCTGCCTGGATACACAGGTGCCAGCTGTGAGATCCAGGTCAATGAGTGCTCTGGAAACCCCTGTCGCAACGGAGGTAGCTGCACTGTGAGTATCAATCAAGAGGAGTTACGTGTTGCTAGAAATATAATTTTCATGGTAACAAGCCAGTATTTAACTTCCATTTCCATTATTTCCATTACAGGACAACGATAACGGCTACAAGTGCACCTGTCCGCCTGGTTTTTATGGCAACAACTGTGAGTTAAGTGCCAATACCTGTGCAGATGGTCCTTGCTTCAACGGTGGGCGTTGCGCAGACAACCCTGAAGGTGGTTACTTCTGTCAGTGCCCGATGGGATACGCTGGCTTCAACTGCGAGAAGAAAATCGACCACTGCTCCTCCAACCCCTGTTTAAATGGTATGTTGTCCTCTTTGTTTGTAAGTTCACCTACACCTACAATTAAACCTAAACTTGGAATTAAAATATCTGGAGACTAATCCTCGGCCTTTGTTTCAATCCTTTTCGCCTCTGCAGGTGCAGAATGTGTGGATCTGGTGAACTCGTACCTCTGTCAGTGTCCTGAGGGATTTTCTGGTCCTAACTGTGAGGACAGCAGCAGTATCTCTGGATACTGTCTGTCCTTCCCTTGTCAGAATGGTGGAACGTGTCAGGAGGGAGTGAACGGCTACACCTGTACCTGCCCTCCAGGTATAACAGCGTTCAACAGATGTGTCTAGAGGGATTATGTTTACATTATTTGTTTTTTTATGTAGTTTTATATTAGTTTTGTTCAAGACTCTTAAACTCTGCTTCTTCCACAGGATATACTGGTGAAAACTGTAGCTCTCCCATCTCCCGCTGCCATCACAACCCCTGCCACAATGGAGCCACCTGCCATGAGCGTGGCGGTCGCTATGTGTGCGCCTGTGTGCCTGGTTACGGCGGTCACAACTGCCAGTTCCAATTACCAGAGGCGCCCAGGCTTCCGGTGGTGGATGGACCAGATCGGCGATATTCTTACCCGGGAAATGACATTAATGAAAATGAGGAGGATGACGACAGCGGATTCCCCTGGACGGCCGTGTGCGCTGGTGTCTTCCTCGTTCTTGTGATCCTGATCGGCTGCTCAGTGCTGGTGGTCTACATTCGGGTCAAATTGCAGGAGCAGCACAGTCACCCTGGTGATAGTGTCCACAGCGAAAGCCACGAGACCATGAACAACCTGACGACCACCAACAATTGTCTCCGCAGTGACAAGGAACTGGGAACTATGATGACTGCGTCAATTAAAAACACCAACAAGAAAGTTGATTACCATTCAGACCTCGGTGGGTCACTGGGTGGTCTGAGTGGAATCAGTGGGCTCAACGGATCAGAGAAGAACGGCTTTAAGACTCGCTACCCCAGTGTGGAGTACAACCTGGTCCATGAGCTCCGGCCTGAGGAGCTCTCGCTGTGTAAAGAAGAGGAGCGTGATGAGCCAGAAGTTAAATGTGAAATGCTGGATGAGTCTGACTCAGAGGAAGGATACAGGAAGAGAATAAACAGGTATGTAGCCGTGTACATTTTAATCATGCATTCCTTAAACTCTGTACGTCAGCATAAATTCAATGAAAACACGTGTTGTGTGAAGGACATTATTCTAAATCTGTTTGTGTTCTTCTTCCTCCAACAGTGATGCATCAGAAAATAAACAAGTAGAAGATTCACCAAGCTGCAGCGAAGCAAAATATCAGTCATCCAGCGAGTTGAACTATCAGGGAGCAACTGATTTTAAATACCAGTCAACCAGTGATGTCAAATACCAGTCAACCAGTGATGTTGAATACCACAATCCCACTGACAGCAGGTACCAGTGTACCACCGACACCAAATACCAGTCCGTCTACGTCATGTCGGACCAAAAAGATGAATGTATCATCGCTACAGAGGTGAGCATGCGCAAATAGGATCATCTGCCTGGCATAAGATAAATAAATATATACAGAATAATTATAACATCCACCAGTACACATGTAAAATCACAAAAAACACTGACTTTTTTCCTTTTTCTATAACAGGTATGATACCAGTCCAGACCAGATCAGATTGGACCAGTATTCCTCTGGTGGATGGCGGTCCACACACACCAACCCTGAGCAGTAGAGCTCAGCTTGTCTCCAGGAGGTTTTACTCCTGCTGTTTGCTGCTGTTCCCTGGGATTTACCGGAGGACTTTGAGCCAAGGTGCTACTGAGCCAGAGCGGAGTCAGTACCGACTTGGCAAGGACTTCGTACTACAGTAGTACATTGGATGAATACTGGACATTTTTGGCCTTCAATGGATGTAGGTCTAATGCTGACTCAGTGTGCGGATAAAGTACCAGAAGACAGTGCTAGCACTAGTACAAACTTTGTACAGAAACAGTGCTGGATGAGTACTCGTGCAGTCAAATGGTGACTGCTGGAGAAGTGATGAAGAGCTTGTTTGATGTCTGTTGCAGTAGTGGAAGATTCACTGCTCGTACCAGGATGGACTCCCTGATAAACTATTGAGTATCGACTTGGATGTTGACAAATAATATTGTAGTACCATGGAGTACTGATTGAATGAACAGTGTAGTACCTTTGGAGTACTGAGAACTTTTGAAGTACTGTTGTAGTACTGTTATGTGCTGTGGTTTTACAATGCAGTGTAAAAGCTGTTGTGGATATTGGACAGTTCATGTTCCGTGCAGTGCTGCAGAGTAAAGGATGAAGTACTAATAACAGTAGAAGTCCCTGTACTTCATTAGTACTGCAGCTGTTGCTGTAGTCTGTTTACTGTTAAAATTCATTCAACAAATCGCAATTGGAGCTTTACTGTAAAAATAAAACAACATTAAAAACCCAGTGAGACTTGTACAGCAGCTGTACAACTTTAACTGTGCAGCACTGACAGAGACAGTGTTGGCTGAGCTGGCTCTCAGCAGAAAATAGAGAACTGAAGACTCCAGTAGTGACTGCAGATCGATCCAACATGGATCCTGTTGGGCCATACTGGCCCCCTGACCCCTGAAGGTTGTGATACACAGGGCAATGTTTTGGGCAGGGCAGCTTAGGGAACACAACAATCAGCATAAGGGAACAAACAAAGAAAAAGACGGTGAAACAAATCAGACAAAATATAAGGTAATAAGTTATTATCCAATCACATATTTTTTTCTTGATTACTTGTTTGGAATTAGCGTAATTCAATATTACAACGGCTCTTTAAGCCACAATTTGTTAACAAAATAATAATAATTACATAAATAATAACAAAATTATCCCGACCTCTGAGGATGCTGTTGTGTTTCCAAGCCGAGCTATAAAGGACTAGTCTTAACTGCCAAGACCTCATTGCACTATGGAGGTGTGTGTGTGTATGTGTGTGTGTGTATGAGCGTGTGTGTACAGAAGAGGTGATGCCTGTGTGTGGTGTCAGATGTATGCACTGCCCACTCCCGCTCCCTTCACTCCCAGTCTTCCACTATTAGCCAATTGAAGGACACCATCACCCTGCCTGCCATTGGTTAGGATCATTTGTTTTTATTTTATTTGTTATCTAAAGAAAGATGTATTCTTTTAATTTAATTATGTAATTATTTGTGTTCCATTTTGTTGTGATTTTTTTGTTAAACCTGTTATAATTTAAGTTGGATTGTTTTTATTTGGCAGATAATGTATGTAAGTATGTATGTATGCATGTATGTGTTAGGCACTTGAGACCCCTGTGACTGTGTTGTATTTAAGAGAAAAGTTGTATGTACAGAACCTGTCATTTTTATTACTGGAAAACAGCGCAATATTTTTCCAAAATAAAAGAGGAATGAAATATAGCACATCTGGTGTTGAGTGATTTTATACAATATGTGGTTTACATGCACTTGAAAATGAATGATTATGACAAATAACAACTGCTGCGTTTTGCGATATGGCAGTGACACCTTAGAGTCATAAATGTTATGTTGTATATTCAGTGTGCACAACTAATGCTTTAACTACATTTAAGGAAAGCAGAACGAGGTTTGTATCATCACAAAAAAATACTCTCATATACAGCTATTTGTACATTTGCAGTCCCCTTAAAGGGCAATCTGACAAACTGAAGCAGAGGGATTTGTTGTCTGTAAGTGATGGTGATTGGTATTTGCATATGTATGTGTGTGTGTGTGTGTGTGTGTGTGTGTGTGTGTGTGTGCGCATTCGTCTGACGCAGCAGAAGACTGTCTCCTTGTGGAACCACTAAATGAGACAAAGACACACCCCATAATCATAGACCGCTTAGCTAGCCTCCTCTGAGGCCAGAGCCATCTCTGTGTGTGAGTATTTGTATGTGTGTATGTGTGTGTGTGTGTGTGTGTGTGTGTGTGTGAGTGTGTGTGAGTGTGTGCATTATGTGAGAGAGAGAGAGAGAGAGAGAGAGAGAGAATGTCATGTACCTGAGCTGATGGTATCTATGATTATTGTCAGTGTATTTGAGATTTGTGTTAATGTTTTTTTCTATGAGCCTATGTACAGATATCAGTGCCTGTGGTTGTGTGTGTGTTTTCAGGCAGAGGGGTATTTATAGGCTGGAAAGAGAAAACCGACCAGTCTGGATTTAGTCCTGGTTGCCCCTGCCTGACTACTGTGTGTGTGTGTGTGTGTGTGTGTGTGTGTGTGTGGTGTGTGTGTGTGTGTGTGTGTCATTTAGCGACCACTGGGAGTGTAGAAGTAGTCATCAAAGAAACTCATCTGGTTTGCAGTCTCATATAAACACACACGCGCACACAAGACAGTGAAATTGGATGACAGATGATCAGAAATTTACTACAATTACAGAGGACAAACTGTATTAAGTGTCGACATGTAGCACACACGCACACACATACATACACAAACACAGGTCATGGCCTCGCTGAAGTTAGAAAATGAGGGGGAAAGAAAAAGAAAGTCTAGTTAAGTTATTTATTCATTCATACATTGATACAGAGTCAAGTTTCCTCCACATCAAAACTGACTTTACAGAGCAGCACACTGAACCTGCCCAGTGGTTGTAGACACAGGAACCGTTGCCCCTCCAAAGACTGCAACTGTGACTGCTCAAAAAGTATTTGCTTGTATTACACATGCGGCAGGCAGTTGTTAGCACATACCATGCTAAGCTTTTTAACTTAACTTTTTTTCAGTGCCACAATAGGTTTTTGCTGAGTTGGAAAATCACAGGAGACAGGCTTAAAGCTGGTCCTTTGTTGTTGTTAGGCTGTCCTCCGGCCCCGAACAGTCGCACACACTCACATCCTCCCTCTCTGCATCTCTCTGGTGTCAATAGTCAGACAAAGCCCTGGTCACTGGCTGCCATATGCTGCTCTGCTGCACATAAAGAACAGCACTCTTTGAACTTCTGAGGGAGAAATTGAAACTTCTTCATAGTAAAACATATATAGAAGTGTTCATTAGATCAGTCACATGTTCACACGGAGCTGTCTTTTTTTTAAATATGGTACCTAACAGTTCACATCCTCTTGTTAGCTCTTAATTGTAGGCCAACCAGAAACTCCAAACAAATATAGGTGATGTTTAATGCTGACAGGCACAAAATGTGCACACAAATTTGAAAATACAAAAAGTAGACATGCAAGTCGGATAATATATTGTCTCGTTTAGTCTTCCCCTCTTTCTCTCATCGAACACACAGTTTTTATTCTGACAGAGGGTAGGCAGGACCGTAGCTAATCTAGAGAACAGGCTGTTTAAGTGTGTCTCTGCTATAATCTGATTAATCTGTCCATTCATACTCCCTTCTCCTCTTTGCCAGATCTGCTTGAATGTATGTGTGTGTGTGTGTGTGTGTCAGCGTGTTTATGTGTGTAAGCATGCGTGCTGACGTCCCTTGGCTTGTGTGTGTGAGAGAGAGATTGCTGGGAAGAGTGCGACAAGGGGGGAAGAAAAGAGCTTGTACTTGGCCACTGACCCTTCTTTTGTCCACACACTGGTCACCTGTCACACACACACACACACATAACCGTACTTTGATGAAAGAGGTTGAAACTGGAGAAACTGGGGCACCCTTGTGGCCAACGTCATCCTCAGTTTGAGTTCAGTCGTTCCCTACTCTCTCTCCGCCAGTCATTTCCTGTCAGCTCAGATTGGTTTGGTTCAGTTCACAACATCAGCAACATCATGTATTGACAGACATCTATGCAGGCGTGTAATAACAACTCCCAACATGAGGAGGTCTCACATGAAACCTGGAATTAAATCTTTATTAATTGTTTTACATTATTAGCCACAACCTTGTAAGAATAAATGTTCTATAATACTAGTATATAAACTAATAACCGCTAAATGTGCATGTGTGTAGTTTAGTTGTTATTTAGTCATTTGTACATAGAATTGATGCACAGTGCCCACATTTTCTTGCTATGCCCACATTTATTCTGTGTTAATCTTTCAGTTCTTTTTATCTAGAGACAATCATCATATTGTGAGAAACCTGATTCTGAACATTTAGATTATTCACTAAAGTTCCTCTATGAGTAAATTAAATTAAATATTAATTATTTATATATATAAATAAAGTACATTTTAAGCCTTTTTTTCCCTCTTCACATCTTCACTCTTTTGCTGATTTGTAGTTTCTGTCACAACAAAAGAAACAGCATCATAACAGTGACTCACTGACTTTACACCGCTCTCCACTCTGTCTTTTATTAGCATTTCAATTTGTCACCAGGGCAAATCCCCACACACAGGGCATCAGTGACTAGTGTTTTTTTGGGCTAAATCTTGTGGGAAAACAGAGATTTCTCTCTCAGCCATCCTCCATTGTTGAGTTTGAACAAACAAAGTGACCACAGCAGCCCGAGTCACACAATGACAGACAGCTTATTCAGCTACTTCATCTGTCGCAGCTCCCCAGGGACCAGGCTCTGATCTTTTCCCAGAGC